ATGAGCGCTTAGCTCTTATATAAAATATTATATAGTCTTAGCCTTAGCTATAGCTTACTTAAGAGAAATTGTCCGATTTGGTTAGTTCAATTTCGACCTAGATGTCAATCGACGGGTTGGTTCGGGGGATTCAGAAATTTGTTCTCGTCACGTTTACCTAGAAACTTGAAAACAAGTTTATGCAACCAGTTGCCAGTGATGATATATCTGAGACACGTACGGTAGTTCACTGCTGGCCGTACGAGGAAGTGCAAGGTCAGCAAGCTATTGAGTGGACTATACTCAGAGTTTCTCTACGAAAGAGAGTAGAACCTGAGTAACCGACATAGACCAACAGCTAAGGAAGATAAAGCAGCAATGGGTTGCTCTAAAAACGTGAAGATCCAGTAAACGATGGGAAAGACGTGTATCGAATAGACAGGTAAGCAAAATGTTGTGCGGCTCCCCACTAGATGAAGTGACGACCTACTGAGACATGCAGTAAGTCGATGGATGGGGGTGCCTTATGGCATTTCTTGAAGAAGGCATATGTTCAGCATTGCACTTGTCAAAAGCTGTAATAACTTGATGACGATACAGCATTACCGAGACATCTTTATAAAGTTACAGTATATTTAGATCTCACTCCTGGGCACAGGTCTCCTCTAGTTCCTGAGAGGGCTTAAGGCGAGGGAGGAAGTGTCCAACGTGCTTCCTTAATGCATGTTGGCGGACTTCACAATAGTCTTCTGTTACTTTATTTATGTTGCAGGACTAAACAAATGACTGTTATTTTATAAAAAACTTGTATAGTGAGGAAATAACAGATACAATATGTGCAAATTTAAATTTGATATTAGTAGAGCGCCCGCACGTAGTTTCGGTGCAAGGTTCGTTAGTTCACTCCCAGTTCTGCTCCCAGCGATCCGCCGGCCGCCAGCAGACCGGTTTTGCCGCTTCCCTCGCCTTAATATTGTTCAGTGATCTGAAAATGTCGTGTGAGAATTTCGGCAACACGTGCAATGCAATTGCGTGCGTGCGTGCAATTTTAACAGTGGTAGAGCCACGCGGCAGTTTTTGCTGTCGCACGGATGGGCTGGCTCGAACCGGGGTGGTACCACGACCTCACAGAAAACCAGCGTGAAGTAGAGGTTTACCTCTGCGTTTCGCTTGGTGAGTGCAGGTGGCCGGAGGCCCTTTTTACTGGAAATGAGGCATTCCATCTTAGTCCTCACGGGTGACAACGCATCTACATTTTGATTTGTAATAGATAGATGTAGATGTCTATGGGCCGCAGCAACCACTTACCATCAGATGGACTGTGTGCTCGTTTGTCACCCTTATCCTATAAAAAAAAAATGCCGTCCGTGCCCGGCAGTAAGCGTACGACTCGTGCCAAAGGCCACATAAAAGGATTGGTCGCTGTGTTCTTAATAAGAACCATGGACCTTTCGATAAGCATACCCGTGGAGTGGCAACATTTTATCTTTTCCTGAAGCCATAAAACATATACATGAGATAAGTGGTTCCAAAAATGTTGCTTCCAGTAGTTGATGCGACGGAAGCGCTGAAGACTGGTTACATTGACATTGACAATCTGTGAATGAGGCATCATAACTAGAGACCGTGCAATAAGGAAATATGTAGGAGTGAGTGGAGTAAGACTTTAAGATCGTTTGAAATGGGAACTATGGGTCTTGAATTCAATTTTGCTCCCATCTTGATTAGACATGTTGCCATTTCCTCAAACGTCAAATGTAAATAAAATTGGACGTCAATGGTGTTTCACGGATTTAATAGCAGACACCCATACTCCTCCGAAATGAGGTGTATAGGCTGGTATGAAAGAAAAATTAATACCTGTATCGATGCTGTTTAATTGCAGGTCTTGTGAAAGCAGCTGAGCCAACTCATTGAAGACAGACGTGGTGCCGTTGTCTGAAAAGGCGTTACGTGTTTTTCCTGCTAGCAATAAAACGTCTAAACGCAGCTAAAACAATTAAAAAACAATATATTAAAATACAAAACAATTTGTATATATTATATTTCCCGACCTTTTATCTCATTAATCCTTACAATTACATGAAATAATTACGGAATGTAAATTTAAAATCATAATTGTTCGTTTCTTTTATTAAAATATCTTATTTCCGGGAAATTAACATTGAAATATCTAGTCGGCAGCTGCGACACTGACTTTGTATCTTACTCTGCGACATTTATGATTAATGGAACACCTTCTAGACGGCGACAGCACTTAAGAGAACACTTAAAATACACTTTCACAACTTATAATGCGCCGTTAAGTATTTTACTTTGATTTTTATCTACAAACAATGATAGTGTCCTGTTTATTATATAAAATAAAAATTGGGCATGTGAAAAAACAAGTTGATTGAATAATAGTATAGTCCTGCAGCTCCAGCGGTGAAACTTTACAAGAAAACGTGCCTTTTTTAATACCGTAGGTACTAAATTTCTCCACTACGTTGATAAAGAAGTTTTATTTGAATATATTTTTTTAATTTTATTTATTAGGGATTTGGCTGTAATTATAATGATGCTAAAATGAAAATTAATTCATAATATAAGTTGTTAAAGACTGTTATTGTTGTATAGTATAAGAAAGAGAAAAAATGACAGTCGTCAGTTTCGGTGCTTTAAACATTGTCGGGATTGTCTACTGCTGGGGCACAGGATTTGTCTGCTTGCGTCGGGCTCTTGGCCAAGCGCAATAAAAATAAATTATTATATTAATATTATGCGTTTATACTGTGCATGAGGTCTCTCTCTCTCTCACTCTCTCTCTCTTTCTCCCTCTATCTCTCTATCGGTCGAGATGAACCATTTTCGCTGCAGCCGTAACACAAAGTAAAGAGTCAGGTCTTCTTTACTCATGTGGCCGTATTACGTTACACCATGACCTTGCTTTAGTCATAACAAAAAACTTTGATCTTTTTTTTTTATAGATAAAGAGTGACAAACGGGCACATAGTCCACTGTATGGTAAGTGGATACTGTGGCCCGTAGATATCTACACATGCCCCCGATTAAGAATAAGAATGCGTTGATATCCCTGACGACTATCCATGATGCGATACTTCGTTTCGAGTAATAAGGGTTTCCAGTTGTCTGCACTCACCATATGAAACAGAGCAGCATTAATAAATAAGCTGGCTTTACCAAATTTGATTTGTTACGTATTTGTATTTATTTTTTCGCGCTGCAAGGATCAGTTGTATTATTTTCTCTTGTTCATATAATAACAATGGACGTAACAAAATGCAAAACCTAAATTATTAGTTTCGAAAAAGTGATGCAAATACCATTGTCTACATATTCAAATTTTCACATAGCAGTTACCCCAATAAAATGCAACTAATTTGTTTTATCAGGACAACAGTTGTATATTTCCTAGTCATAGATCAATGTTGGTTTGATTTAGTTCTCTAATAAACCAAGTACTTTTTTTATATGTTCATAGTAAGTGAAATACATATATAATTTTACAAATTTTATTTTAATAATTAATAGAATCAGGCGTTACTTTGCGGACATCCATTATATAAAAGCTTTTAGAACAATTTTACTTCGCAAATATCCGCGTTATAAAATAAAATGATGTGTCTTACCTAGTATGAAGAGCACCTCCCGCCCTTCCTCAATTGCGTGCACTATCCCCGTCACCATTAATCCCAGCACCGCTACTCCCAACACCACTACACTAGGAAAGACACACCACTGACAATAATACGACACGTGTTTCGCCTCTACACGAGGCATCCTCAGGTGATATAGACTCTACGGTGGCTAATCACTAAGTACTTAACAAACAAAACACGTATTATCGTCAGTGGTGTGTCTTGCCTAGTGTAGTGGTGTTGGGAGTAGCGGTGTTGGGATTAGTGGTGACGGGGATAGTCCACGCAATTGAGGGAGGGCGGGAGGTGCTCTTCATACTTGATAAGACACATCATTTTATTTTATAACGCAGATATTTACGAAGTAAAAAAAATTTTTCTAAAAGCTTTTAAATTATATTTTATTAAAACGAATATATTTTTACAATCTATACTCGTATTTCGTAAAGTGTATGTGTTATTAATGGTCTTAAAATGTAATAAACGCGAATGGACCTTTAATTAGAGCTCGTAAAAGACCACTACAAGACTTTCAAGATGGCTGCCGCTGTACCAGGCGTCTTACACCATTGACACTGCACTCTTAGTTAGATATATATATATATATATATACGAGGGCGGGTCAATAAGTCCGTGACTTTTTGAATTTCTGACCTCTTTACTGAAAAAGCAACACTACTCCTATCAACAGGCATCTGTCAGTTGACTCCTGTCAAAATTTGAACTTGCTGCAACAGTTAGTTTGTGTTTGACAGCTATCTTTATCAGACTACCCAGTAATTTGAGGAAAAAATGGAAAAAAGTGATGTTCGTGTGCTTATTAAGCATTATTTTTTGCGAAAAAAAACCATTACTGAGACCAAGACTAAGCTTGATAAATACTTTGGGGACTCTGCACCATCGATTTCAATGGTAAAAAAGTGATTTACTGAATTTCGTTGCGGCAGTACAAGCACTGAAGATGCCGAACGTCCTGGACGCCCAATTGAGGTCTCTTCACCCAAAACAATCAAAAAAATTCACGATATGGTGTTGGCCGACCGAAGATTGAAAGTACAAGAGATTATGGAAGCCGTAAGGATCTCGCATGGCTCAGTGGTTTCAATTTTGAATGATCACTTGGGCATGAGAAAGCTTTCCGCAAGATGGGTGCCGCGTTTGCTCACAGTCGACCATAAACGCAATCGTGTAACAACTTCACAGGAAGGTTTGGCGTTGTTTAATCGCAATATGGAGGAGTTTTTGCGCCGTTTTGTAACCGTGGACGAAACAGGGATCCATCACAACACACCAGAGACCAAACAACAGTCAAAACAGTGAGTTTCTAAGGGTAAATCGGCGTCAAAGATGGCCAAGGTGGGTTTGTCAGTCAATAAAGTTATGGCGACTGTTTTTTGGGATGCACGCGAGATAATCCACATTGACTACCTTCAAAAGGGTAGAACAATCAATGGGGAATATTATGCCAACTTATTGGACCGATTCAATGACAATTTGAAAAAAAACCGACCTCATTTGGCCAAGAAAAAAGTTCTTTTCCACCAAGACAATGCAAGGGTGCACACATGTGTAGTTGCCATGGCAAAAATCCATGAATTGGGCTATGAATTGCTCCCTCATCCGCCCTATTCTCCAGATTTGGCTCCGAGTGACTACTTCTTGTTCCCAAACCTGAAGAAATGGCTTGGTGGAAAAAGATTTGACTCCAATGATGAAGTCATCTCGCAAACAAAGGCCTATTTTGAGGACCTCGACAAATCATATTTTTGGAAGGGGTAAAAAAATTGGAGAAGCGTTGGACAAAGTGTATAGAGCTCAAGGGAGACTACGTTGAAAAATAAAATGATTTATTTATCAAAAAATCTGTGTTTTATTCCAAAAGTCACGGACTTATTGACCCACCCTCGTATATATATAACGTCTGGCATAAACAAGATAGTTTTACCGCCATACATCGGATATTACAAGTTTTTTTACGATGCTATAATACGGCATGTACCCTTATTATAACAGACTAATATAATCGACTGCTGAACATTGGCCTCCCCTATAGATTGCTTCATAAGAGGGATATTTGCCATAGTTTTCACGCTTGGCCAGCTGGTTGCCAACCGCAGTTTATTTTTTTTTATTCGTCATAAGGAAGACTCTGCTGCCCATCACCTGGTTTGTTTACTTCAGTCGCCTTACGACACCCATGGAATAATATGAGGTAGTGGATATTTTCACATCACTACTACACCGGAAATGTACACATATTAAAGATGTCACTTTATGAAACAATGAAATTAATAAATATTTCTTTATAATGATTAATGAATTAATAATAATAAATTTTAATCAATTAGGGAATTGTTGTTTTCAGCAACTTCAATTAGGGGGGAAGGGGATCGCAATGTGACTGTATAATTTTTTGGATGTATTTTTAACCGACTTCAAAAAGGAGGAGGTACCCAATTCGACTGTATTTTATTTTGTGTTACCTCATAACTTTTTTCTAGGTGAACCAATTTGAATGACAATTTTTTTATTTGAATGTTTCTGCTTCTCATGTAGTCCCATATAAATTTGATCAATGTCTGAGCAGAAGTTTTTGAGTTATCCTGAATAATTTATATTGAAGTCGGTTACACAAAATTTATAAATTTACCACTTGTATAAGATATTTTTGCCACTTTGCCATTTGAATAATTTCAATTAAATTGGCTCAACCCCCACTTTTTAAATATTTTGTCAAATTTAAATTGAAACAGCCATTAAAGTATTTATGAAAAAATTCCACCCATTGTGAGAAAATAGGGCATGAAGTTTTCATATGTTACTGTTAAGACGAAGTTCTAGTTATTGCGCCTAAATTTTAAACTTGTCATTTTCCTTCATTTTCGCGATGGCCTAACGACTTTAAGAAACAAAGTGATGAAAGAATATTGTTTTGTATAAAAAGTGAAATTACCAACGAAATCGAGTAGGTAAATAGTTTGTTAATATAGTTTTACAGTGTGTTTACAACTCTTAATATATTTGTATAGAATGTCGTTTTAATAATAGTTAATATAAACAACTTTAATCGTTTAAGAAAAAATCGACCAATCACAGCGCGTCATATCGTAGAACCTTCTGGAAATTTAATTAACTGCGCAATAGTTTATACTAAAAATAATCAGAATATTTTTCTGTTCTTAAAGAATTGTTAATATGACATTTAGTTAGCATATGGTATATAGATTACGATAGTGAAGAAATAATTTGTATAATTAAACGCATTTGGTAGTTATAGAAAAATTAAAGAATTAATGTACCCATTTGTTATGAAAATTTGGGACATTTTGTTTAATAACTTTTTAAAATGTAAATATATTGAATAACCTTTATCATATACTGATAAAGGACCAAAATTCCGATTTAATGATGTTTAGCATATTAGTGTAAGATTTAACCTTATATAGAAAATATTGCAATTTATGCTAATTACATAGTGAAAATGTTTTAAAATAAAGAGGCAAAACGGAAAATGGCAAGCGGCTCACTATACAGTATAGCCGAAGTCTACCTTATGGGGGCGAAACCCAGTAACGTTGTAGTAGGAAGAACTACCAGTGACAAGCAGTAGTATCCGGTAGTAGCTGAAGTGACTAGTAGCAGAACATAGTGAACAGTAATAGTGAATTAGAAAAAAGTGTTAGCTAGCAGAAAAAGGTCGTAACTGAAAATCGTAGTTACACATAGCCGAAAAAAGTGTCAACTGAAAATTCGCAGGTGCATATAGTGAAAAAGTGTTAGCTAGCCGAAAAAAGTGGTAACTGAAAATTCGCAGTTACATATAGTGAAAAAGTGTTAGCCAGCCGAAAAAAGTGGTAACTGAAATTCGCAGTTACATATAGTGAAAAGTGTTAGCTAGACGAAAAAAGTGGTAACTGATATTCGCAGTTACACAAGTGATAAAATCAACTAGTTTTAGTTGATTAACAGCTGCTAGTCAGTAGTGTTAGAAAACCAGCTACTACCAATAGATATTTTGATACTACCAATAGATATTTTGATACTAACATAACATAACATAAACACTCACGCCTGTCACCCAGAGAGGTAGGCAGAGACTACGGACTTCCATTTGGCGCGATCCTGACACACCTCTCTCGCCTCTTTTACATCCATATATCTACGCATACACGCCCGTCGGTTATGGGTACTCCTAATCTGGCCCATTTTTAATGTATCGCCGATTTGGTCGATAAACCTTCGTCTAGGGCGTCTTTGATACTACCAATAGATATTTTAATACTACCGCACATTTTTTATTAAATATTTTGAAATATATAGTGACCAACCAATAATGAACAACCGTAGTTGAACAACCGTATTCAACAACCGTGGTCAATAAATAATAATTATAAAATTTCGCGACTAATCAATCAGTCGAACCGCTGGCCACTCCCTTGCTATTTGAATTTATAAATCGTGCATTTTAATTTTGAACCTTAGTCCACAGTTTTCCAGCAGCACACACAGAGACGGCTGTGAAAGTATCCTCCGGAACCTATAGGTGTAGGACGTGAGCGACTCGCGGAGTATCTTCGAACACATTTACTCCGGAGAGTTACGCCCGTCCGGCACACTTCGTCTAACCAAAAGACTCGTAAATATAAAAAATAAATGCCATTTGTTGATTTTTTACGGGTTATTCCATGTATTATATACAAAATTTGACCTGTTCGTAGTCCAAAAATTTTATTAAACTAAGTTTGTATAAAAAGGGTTGTTATAACATTAAGAAATTGGATGATTATAACCCCTGAGAATGAGGTGATTGTTGCCAAGTTTCTAATTTGTTTTGTGTTGTTACAATTAGTGTAACATACATGATTGTCATGCTGTTATTTTTCTTCAAAAGTTCCGCTGGGTTTCTTGCTGGTTCTTCCAAGTATAGAAGTTTTGTTCCGAACCAGTCTTAATTAAACAAAAGAGTGACATTATATAAGTATTATTGTTAATCTCCATTAAATAAATAAGTTTCTGTTTCTGTTATCCACTCTAAAACAGCCAGCCAAGGTAAATATATTATTTATTATTAGTGCAATAAGATATAAAATTAAGTATACATCTCGGGGTGATTTTTTTAGTGTGGATAAACGGAATATCCCATTTTAATTTTTAATATTTATTGTTGCTGTATTTTGTATGGTAAATAACGAGGACTGGAAACCTCATTATAGACGTAAGGAGGCATACCATCTTGGTCTTAAGGGTAAGTAAAACATCTGTATTTTTATGCTTAATAGGGTATAGATGTGATCTTCTTAGTATTAGGTGGGCTATGTGCTCGTTTGTTATCTTATTTCTATAAAAAATACGATCTATGTTTCATAGAATTAATTATATTTTTATAAATTAAAGAGGTGTTGGGCAAAATTATGGTTTCAATAAAACTAACACAAAAATTCAATTGTTTATTCTCGGTACATTCAAAGCATTTCTGGGTGCCTTTATTTTATAATTATAATATTATTATATACACCTTAATAAAAATAAAACATTGAGTCAGTTACGATCGCCAAGTTTGAATAATTTAGCGAAGTCATTTAAATGCTGGTTTATACTCGCCAACTTACAGTTAGTGAAATTTGTTCACATGTTTATTAATAATTGTGTGCTTTTTATTTGAGAATATTCATTTTAAGGCAAACCTATAATAATATAAACTACCATAGTTCCAGCTACAAGAACTAGGATGATAGCTGGTATTCCATTAACAAAAATTATACGTGCTTATTTCTTTAAAAATTACAAACATAAAACGACATAATATACACTATACAATAAATATATAACTAAGCTTCGAAATTATAATTAAAAAATGAAAATTAATATAAAAAGGACACTTCAAGGAGACGCTAAATTAGTGAGAAACCTCGCCGGAGTGTATCAGACATTAAATTTTCAATGTTACAAAATACAAAAGATGATTCAAGAAACTTGAAAATTTTTATTGCAGAATCGTCTAGCCAAAATTCTGATATCAAAAAGGATTTTATACAAAACTACCTAAAAAAACTTTTCAAACGTGGCTATTATAGAGCGCTGCTTTGTGTACATTCATTATAATACCCTTACACTAGTGTAAAACAGTGCATTGTCATTGAAACACCGACATTTTCTCTGTCAATAATTTAACATTTCTTTAACATTCGCCACAAAATGTTACTCATAAATTAGTTTTCTATCTAAATTTAAAATAGGATATTTCACAAGTATTCCAAACCGATATTAATAAAAAACCCTTTTTGTATTATATTTGCAATAAATCTATTTTTTATTATTATTAAAAGTGAAGCCTGTATCGTTTTATATAGAGCAGTTTATTTAATTTAAACGGAAGAGAGAGTGTTACAATTTGTATGTAGATCAATACCAACCTGCTTGCTTAATATCTAACTTTAAAAAATCTTAAACATTAGTTGCGATATTGTCGGCATACTTTTACAACTATCCTCAATTATTTCAGATGCAGTTAGCCTAGACATTAATACAATTAGCATCACATCAGTCAAATATATTATTCACCAAATATTGAATGAAATTACTCAAACCAGAAGACATTTATACTTAAAAAGTTTTGATAAGCTTTGAATGGGGCCCTGCTGTGAGCTTTGGCATAACGTCCTTGGCATTTTTCTCTTTTCTGTGCATTACGAATTTTTTGCCTTTAAGTTCAATTTCGGACTTGTTTTGCGCAGTTTTGATTAGGGATGAAATGGACAGGCTGCGCTTTATTATTTTACCCTTCTTTAAATTAAACATATTGTCACTAGTTTTTACACTTTTGCTTATAACTTCTTGTTTCACAGTTTTTGGTTTAAGATCATTATTATCAAATGTATTCTCCACTCGTTTTCGGTCTTCTTTATTCCTTGATTTTCCAACATCGATAATAAAGTGAGAGTGATCAAAGCATGTTGTAGATTTCTGTGTAACAAAATAAATATCGTTATTTTAATTCGAAAATGACTCATCATAAACGCATTGATTTGTGAAATATAGTAACCAAGAGTCACCCTTGAACTTTACAAGTAATATAAACAGTGCACACTTTCATCAATGCCTGTTGTAGCAAGAACGGATCGGTCGGGGGAGGACCACGCACTCATAGAATACCAGCGTAACAGACAGCGTAGTCAAAACCAAAAAGCCTTTTTACCAGGAACGAGGCATTCCGTCGCAGTTTTCAGGGATGACAACGCATCTGCATTTTGATTCTTAATTGAGGATAAATGTAGATGTACATAGGCCACAGCATCCACTTACCACCAGGTGGACTGTGTACCCGTTTGTAACACTTATTTTATAAAATAATGTCTGAAACCATAGGGGATACTATCATGTGTCTATCTCTCCATAGGGAATACACTCTATAAGTAATTCAGGAAACTTACTATCAGAGAACAGTTAGCTCCTTTATCGCTATAATTTAAAAAATAAATATATAATGTTTCTATAATTTTAGAAGTATATGCATTTTAAAAATTAGATAGTTACGATTGGATTTACTGCTTTGCTGTAGGTTTCAACTCGACCTTCTAGCTCCATTTTGAGCCGCGTATCTCTCCAGTACAAGTGAACTGCGGCCATGTTGGGCCATCCTCTACGCCACGTTTGCCATCTAGAGCAGAAAAGAACTTCCACTAATAAAAAAAATACCAGTATATCTTTTACCAAATAATGTGTTTATAAATACTCAAAAGCAATGGTTTTCAAATAAGTGAGTAATAGAAACGGTTATGAAGATTCAGAATCGATGAAAATAAAGTACAATGAATATCAAATATACCCGATAAAAACTTGATATCGATGATAATAATTATTATTCGCGTAGTGGCTATATCTATGGAGGAGGCTTACGTTCAGCAGCGGAATTTCATAGACTGTAAGGGTAACGATAACGATGTAGTGGCAACGTTAGAAATATTCGTAACCGCATTTTGTTCTGTTGGTGGTGTATAAATAGGCGACTATAAGAAATGCTACAAAAATCATAGACATTGCTTCAGATTCAACCACCTCATTTATGCTATATGTAAAATATACAGAGCGATGACGGGTCCATGCTGCGAAGCGTCTGGTGCTGCGACTGTTTTCACGTCTTTCAAGCGTTATGATTAAAAAAACCATGTGTGCGGTTCACATGAGGTAGAAGTTAATCCTCGCTTAGAGAGAGTCTCTTAGAGATAAATTTAAAGAAATAAATATATTAACTTGGACCTCTCAGTATTATTACGAAAATTTTATGTATGTTCACAAAAATAAATGTAGTTTTAGTAAAAAAAGTGATAAACATTCTGTAAACACTAGGAACTAACACAAGCTAGTGGTACCAGTTTCTCGACTCCACAGAGTCAGTAATTCATTCTTAGGGCAATGTATACGCTATTACAACAAGGTCCCGGAAAATGTACAGTCTCTCTCTATTACCAAGTTTATATGTTTTGTTAAGCTGAAACTGTATAAAAAAGGGTTATTATAGTGTAAATGAATACATGGTACATGGCTGGGAATAAGGTGGTCGCTTCCAAGCAGTTTCGAAAATAATTTTGTAAATAGTTTGTAATCATTTTCTATTGTAAAATTTATTTAAAAAAAAGTCCCGCTGGGTTTCTTGCTGGTTCTTCCCAGGACAGAGGTTTTTTTCGAACCAGTAGTAAAGTAAAAAATGACTTCCAAAAAGAATTACTCATGTAATGTAATTGAATAAAAAATTATTCTATTCTATTCTATCCCTTCAGAAAAAGAGACTCTCATTCACTCGCTGGCTAAACCCTTTAGATGTATATGTTTGTCTGTTTTTAGTGTTGCTTTTTGTTTCTTCGAGTTTCAAATCACAACGATTCTAAAGAAGATTTCACTTTCAAAATCAGCAGTAGACTTTTACGGGCTGGTTGATATGAAAAAGAAAAAATATCTAATACAAATATTGTTATTACATCGTTACAAAAAGTTATAGAAGTACAACGTTTGTGTTCTGACCTTGTCAAAAGTTGCAAAGTCCTTGATTTTTGTCCCAGTTTTCTATACATCAACGCAGTAGATCGAAATGAAATGAGATCCCCCCTTAATGAAGATGTAATATTTCGATTTTTGAGTGCAAGCCTTGTTGCTTCAAGATACAAGTTGGATGCAGGTCCAGCAAGCCCTGAATAATAAAAAATATAAGGAAATTAAATAAATGCAGTATTTTACCTTAATATCCCATTTTCATGCCGCCTGATTTTCTTAGTGCACTAGTACTTCGTCAATACGGAAGAGCTCATGGAATATATATTTTTTAAATTTAATTTTTATTTCCATTTTATCAAATTTATCTATTAAAAATACCGCTAACAGGCAGTAAACTTTTTACCTAGCAGCCGGTTCAAAGTCAAGGGCGCTACAAATTCATAATTACTTGCTACGACTAAAGTACACGATTTGATTTTATTTATTATGAATACCTTTTTATTTCATTTTAACCCGCCCCCGCTTGGTCTGAATAGGTGGCGTTATTTAAATTTAAGATAATCAAAAACCATTTGGTTTTTCATTTTTTTTAATCTTTAAGTTTTCCGGATAACATGTAGCCTAGATCACTACTGACATTGCGGTTTATCTGTTTGTGAGGCTTCAGCCATTCGGATTAGCCCGAACAGATGAACAGACATACAAAAACTTTAAAATTGATTTAGAAGTCTATATAGTAGGAAATAACGTCTAGAGGTAAATAGAAGACACTTATTTGAATATTACAGACAGACACTTTAATTTTATTTGTATGTGATGAAAGTTTTCTTAACAAATATATTTGTGCTGTAGGCTTCTACTTTGTGCACCCATTACTTACACCTTATTTTTTCTTTACGGTCAATTAGTCAGCCTGTATACACCCGGGTCTGGTAGGCCCATTACTTAAATAAGAAGATCGTTGCGTTTAAAATTATATTTGTTCTTATTTAATGGCAATTTTGTTTACATACCCATGTATCGTGTGTATGCAATCACGGAAGTGAACAGTGTGGATAAAATTATACATGTTTAATTATTGACTTATTTTTAAATCAAATAAGAATCGTGTTGACTCAGGGGCTAATAGCATGTAGTAATTTCACAGCACTCGAACAAACCTGGTATGATCTTTGCTGACACAAATGAAGATTGTAATTTTCAATGCTACTTTACCATGTTTTCAGTGATGAAAGAAAACATCGTAAGAAAACCTGTATATTAATGAATATTTCCAAGACATGTAGTCTGCAACACGCATTAGCAATCTGAACAGCACAGCCAAGTAATTACATCATGACCCCTTTTAGAAATGAGAAGAGGCCTTTGCCGAGGGAGACATAAGTAAATACCATAGGCTGTAATTTTATTAATTGTTTTGAATTTTATTCATAATTTTTAATGTAATGCTATTTTACCTTTTTCTTTCAGCCAATTTCCATATAAAACATAAAACTCCCAATTATCTGGCTCCAATTCTATTAATCTCCATAAAACTTTCTGCTTTTCTGGTTCGGGTGTCAGAGAGACAAGTTCTAATTGAGCTTGAACAAACTGAGGGCGAAGAAGTAAGCATTTTTCCAGCATTTTGATGGCTTCATTTGTTTGCCCATTTTTTCTAGAAATCAACACGAAAAAGTTGAATTTGATATTTGAAATTTAATGTATATAAAATATAGAATAAGCCATAATGATATAACACTGAATAAACTTCGTTCCTCATTTGAAATTGCAATCTTTTTCATCAGTCCATGAAAGTCCACAAGTTGACATGTATCTTTCTCATTGTGTTTGTGGGATTGACGACCGCAGTACCAAACGTATAGAACTCTGGACGCTGTTACCATGATTGTCTGTGTATTTTAAGCTTGGCGTAAAAGTCACTAACGAGCACACAGTTCACATAATGGTAAGGGGGTGCCGTAGCCTACAGATATTCTCACATTTATTCTTTATTAAAAATCAAAACGCAGATACATTATCACCCCTGAGAATAATTGGCTAAATAAACTAATTTCTTTCAAAATACTTGTTGTCGATTATTAGTACTCTTTTTGAAAAAACCCACCCAGGTTTCGTAAAATATTTAATATTATGAAATATTATAACATATACACTGAGGAGCAAGGCCGTAGGGATAAAATCTCTAATTAAACGATTGCTTGATAAGCACTTTATCTCTACGTATTTAGCTGTAAAAATGTAAACATGTTGCTGAAAAAAGTAATTCTAATAATCCACTGATTTCGTGACTTTTTATAACTGATATTGTTTTGTATATCTTATACTTTAATTACATATGTTATATAATAAACATTTTTTTTCGTAATTTGGTTTATTGTAATGAATAATATTGCAATTGTTTTTCTTTAAATTGGCAAATATCATCCTGTGGGTGTCGTAAGAGGCGCCAGAGGGAAACAAACCAGGTGATGGGCGGCAGCGTCATCGGAACGACTAAAAATAAATAAACCGCAGTTGCCAACCCGCTTGTGCGGCAAATGTTCGAGGCAATCTATGGAGGAGGCCTATGTTCAGCAGTGGACTTTAATAGGCTGTAACGGATGCAAATATCTGGTGGTATGTGATGGAACATGGAACGCGTATGGAGTATTAAAATATTAACCCTAATATACAAAAACTATATATGAATTATTAAAATTATTGCCAATCCCTGGTCACTTATTATATCAAAAGAAGGCTTTATGGGTAATTTTAACTTTATGTTTTATTAAGAATGCATTAGAACAAAAAAAGATAAAAAATATGTATTATAATTAAACTAAATTTATCGAGTTTAATTTAATTTATTTAAACATCCATCGCTGGCGCGAGTGCGGTGCCGACGTCTCCGCGGTAGATGTTTTGTCCATGTCCAACTCATGTACTTATAAAAACTCCTCACCGATATAGGAGAAAATGCTACTGCGAGACTAACTCATAGTTTTCAAAATTAAAGAGAAGAGAAGGGAAAGATAGGTAAAAACTGAGGAATTACTTGTACAACTTTCCAAGATTGTAATGCGCATTAGCGTGGTGCTTGTTAAACTTGATTGCCTGCAGAAAGTGATATTCTGCGTTTTCTAATCCACTAAGCAGGGTGCCAACATTATTGTGAGCACTTGAGTACGTCGGCCATAACCTGTCGAAAACATTTCGAAGTTAGTTATTTCAAGAATTAACAATTAAATACTTCAATATAAATTATTAATGATAACTCAAAAAACTACTTGATCAAATTTATATGGAACTACATGAGAAGCACCAGACTTGAGTACCTCCTCCTTTTTGAAGTCGGTTAAAAAAATGATGCACTTGTTAAGGGTGCGTTTGCAAATCGAGCCAAATTATGCTGTTTTTCGGTACATTTTGTGAAAAAACTAAACCAAATCAAATATAACTAATAACTACAACGTATAGAATGGTTCTTTATCTTCAAATAGTGGTAACTTTTTTGTTGAAAATAATAGTTTTTTACATTGTAAAAAGGATCTTCCCTAGCCATTTACTACAAAATTAACGATACCGGCTCATATTTCGGTACATTTTTTGTTCTATTATCAACATATATTGAGATATCTAAAAATACTGTAAGTAGGCAGACATATTCAATAAAAAATGCTGGTGATTACTTTTTATCAAAATGTCACAAATGGTCGTAAAAAAAATAAAAACTGATGCTTATGTTTTGACATATTTTGCTGATACGGATGAATCCTAATGGATTGCAATAAGGGTTATTTTATTTTTAGTGTCTGTTTTGATTTGTTGTATAAAAATTTCGATGAAACCACAGTCGGCGCTCGGCCGCTATCGCGGGTGGTTGCTGTATCGCCTGCAGCAGCTGAAAAAGATCGCTGTACAAACACAAAATATTCGAATTTGATACATAGGTACATGACCTGACAAAGTAAAATAATACATACATAATATAAATATTTTTATAATCACAAATTCTTATTATAATGTTTTGTTTCGCTAAAAGCAAGTGGGATTTATAATATATAAATATATATAAATCCTATTCGTCTTGGACTTTATGGAGTGATCTGAAAGTATACGGTGAATGCTACTAGAACTCCTCGACGAGTTGAACTAGGTGTGCCGAGTTTGGGCTCATTATGTTATTTATGACGAGACCTTACCTCCGGACTTGAAGGAATGACCTGAAGGTGTACTTCGGTAACTACTAGTGGAACTCCTGGACGAGTAGAACTAGGTATGCCAAGTTTGGGCTCGTTTTGTTAGTTACGACGAGACCTTACCTCCGGACTTGACAGAATGACCTCATGGTGTACGTTGGTGACTACTACTGCAACTCCTGGACGAGTAGAACTAGGTGTGCCGTGTTTGGGCTCGTTTTGTTAGTTATGACGAGACCTTACCTCCGGACTTGACAGAATGACCTGATGGTGTACGTTGGTGACTACTACTGCAACTCCTGGACGAGTAGAACTAGGTGTGCCGTGTTTGGGCTCGTTTTGTTAGTTATGACGAGATCTTACCTCCGGACTTGACAGAATGACCTGATGGTGTACGTTGGTGACTACTACTGCAACTCCTGGACGAGTAGAACTAGGTGTGCCGTGTTTGGGCTCGTTTTGTTAGTTATGACGATACCTTACCTCCGAACTTGATGAGAGACCTGATGGTGTACTTCGTAACTCCTGGAAGAGTAGAACTGGGTGTGCCGAGTTTAGGCACGTCGGAGAAAATATAAATGGTATTACCAAATTCAAGGGCAACTGCGCATCATAGCTAACAAACTCGACACACCTAGTTCTACTCGTCCAGGAGTTGCAGTAGTAGTCACCAACGTACACCATCAGGTCTCTCCATTAAGTCCGGAGGTAAGGTTTCGTCATAACTAACGTAATGAGCCCTAACTCTGCACACCTACTTCTACTCGTCCAGAAGTTGCAGTAGTAGTCACCAACGTACACCATCAGGTCATTCTGTCAAGTCCGGAGGTAAGGCCTCATCGTAACTAACAAAACGAGCCCAAACTACGCATACCTAGTTTTACTCGTCCAGAAGTTGCAGTACTAGTCACCAACGTACACCATCAGGTCTCTCCATTAAGTCCGGAGGTAAGGTTTCGTCATAACTAACATAATGAGCCCTAACTCTGCACACCTACTTCTACTCGTCCAGGAGTTGCAGTAGTAGTCACCAACGTACACCATCAGGTCTCTCCATTAAGTCCGGAGGTAAGGTTTCGTCATAACTAACATAATGAGCCCTAACTCTGCACACCTACTTCTATTCGTCCAGGAGTTGCAGTAGTAGTCACCAACGTACACCATCAGGTCTCTCCATTAAGTCCGGAGGTAAGGTTTCGTCATAACTAACATAATGAGCCCTAACTCTGCACACCTACTTCTACTCGTCCAGGAGTTGCAGTAGTAGTCACCAACGTACACCATCAGGTCATTCTGTCAAGTCCGGAGGTAAGGCCTCATCGTAACTAACAAAACGAGCCCAAACTACGCATACCTAGTTTTACTCGCTCAGGAGTTGCAGTAGTAGTCACCAACGTACACCATCAGGTCATTCTGTCAAGTCCGGAGGTAAGGTTTCATCGTAACTAACAAAACGAGCCCAAACTTGGCACACCTAGTTCTACTCGTCCAGGAGTTCCACTAGCAGTTACCGAAGTACACCTTGAGGTCATTCCATCAAGTGCGGAGGTAAGGTCTCGTCATAACTAACATAATGAGCCCTAACTCGGCACACCTACTTCTACTCGTCCAGGAGTTGCAGTAGTAGTCACCAACGTACACCATCAGGTCTCTCCATTAAGTCCGGAGGTAAGGTTTCGTCATAACTAACATAATGAGCCCTAACTCTGCACACCTACTTCTACTCGTCCAGGAGTTGCAGTAGTAGTCACCAACGTACACCATCAGGTCATTCTGTCATGTCCGGAGGTAAGGTCTCATCGTAACTAACAAAACGAGCCCAAACTACGCATACCTTGTTTTACTCGTTCAGGAGTTGCAGTAGTAGTCACCAACGTACACCATCAGGTCATTCTGTCAAGTCCGGAGGTAAGGTTTCATCGTAACTAACAAAACTAGCCCAAACTTGGCATACCTAGTTCTACTCGTCTCGGACTTCCAGTAGCAGTCACCCAAGTATACCTTCAAGTCACTTCACCAAGTTCGGAGCTGAAGTTATCATAACTAACAAAACCAGCTCAAAGTCCACAGCCAACATCTCTCTCCCTGTTGATGGCTTCTAGTACCTAGCTGTCTCTGGAGCAGCCATTTATATTTCGTATCTAAGTATATTTTTGTAGGTAATAAGAAATATGAAAAAAAAAAACAATCTTTCAAATTATCAAAATGTTTATACTTGATTGCGATTCCCGCAGCTAACCGTGCGTGCACTTGTGTGTGTGACCAGTGTCAATGTAATAGTTCGATTCTATACCTATCAATTTTGTAAACGCGTCCTTAAGATCCGTTAGCGAGAGTGTTAGCGTGCTCAACTACTATCTCACCGATCCGAAAGTTATGATTTAGCCGAACATGGTCTAGAGCACTGACTACGTTTAACAAAATCAAAATATTTACTAGACTTAAGTCTTCTTCGTTGTGACCGGACGGAAAGACAGAAGCTGGCAATTTTTTTTATAGAATGAGGGTGAAAATCGAGCACACAGTCCTACTGGTGGTAAGTGGATGCTATGGCCAATAGACATCTACATCTATCCCCGATTAAGGATCAAAACGCAGATGCGTTTGACACCCCTGAGTACTAATATGGAATGCCTTGTATCCAGTAAAAAGAGTCTCCGATTTTCTACACTCTACACACGAAACAGCAGCATTTAGCTGCTATTGAATGCTAGTATTCTGTGAGAGCATGTTTTTCTCCCATTCGAGCCGATCCATTAATACTAAAACCATAATACAGGAAGATCTTGCTGTTCATCTTCTGTTTTATTTTCCTCTGTCACCAGTTACAACATCCACGGGGCATTAGGGTATAGTGATGACTATAACACCACCACTACACGGCCACGGATTAGTAAACGCAAAATTAACCCTATAAAAACCGACTGAACATACTTTTAATTTTGTATTTTCTTTGGATGTTAAGAAATGAGTTTTGGTAAACTATTATATTTACTGAACATGCAACTTTTGTACGTTCTATCAAACGTAGAATTCGATGTAACTGAGAGGCTAATCACTTGGCGTAAATTTCACAGTACGCGAGCAATTTAATGTCGATCCCCGTCGATGCCGATAAAAAATTTAAATGCAATTTGAAGTGCTAATCTACCACGTGCTCGGCGGTGAAGTAAAACACTAAGAGGAAACCTGAGTCTGAGGACTAAAATATTTAGAAAATATGTAAAGCCCGTCAACACGTACCGGAGCATTGCGGCTGGGATAGTGTGATAAAAGAAAGCAGGTCTGAGTCCAGCAGTGGTATATACAAGTAATTTCTCTTATTTACTAAACATAGTTCCACGTGTATACCACAAACATATTTTATTTATAGAATACTGGTGACAAACGAGCACACAACCCACATGATGGTAAGTGGATGCTGATATACATCTATATTTATCCTCGATTAAGTATTAAAATATAGATTCGTCGTCATCCCTGAGGACTTGTATGAAATACCTCATTTCCAATAAAAAGGACCAAAATGGAAATACCATGGAAGTAATTTTAGTATCACCTGACATTAAAATGTGGAAACTGCTTTCTGATAAAGTAATACTATACCACAAATCATACTCATTTTTATACCTCAAAGCTTCTTTGTAATGTTTGATAGCGTTTTCTTGCTGCTCCGTCTCACGTAGAAAATTCGCAAAGTTGTAGTGCAGTTTGGCATTTTGCGGCAAAGTCACTAAATCCGACCTGCAACGTACAATACACATTTTGTCGTGATTTACGCCTTAATCCGACAACTGTGAAGCAAATATCGCGAGGTGTAAACAGCGGTAAATATTTCAAGCTACGTTAAATATGATTTTCTGACGCGAAATAATGGTGTACATAATTGTGGAAAGCTTCAATAAGGTTGCGTATAATTAAGTTATTTACAAGGCACCATGATAGCTAAGTAGATAAGTAATATCGCTTAGAGGTGTAGGACCAATAATTGTCCCAAGTATACTGAAATGAAAGTGGTACTACAAATTTGAAAAACACAGGTGGTAAAATTAAAAATTTTGTACAACTGACTTGAATATAAATAAAATGAGAACATTTTCAACTAGTCGAAGTCAAATAAATACGCTTTATTAAGGATAACTTAAGAATTACTGGCCAGTTCTTGATTCAATTTATATGAGACCACATGAGAAGCCAAAGCTTAAAAAAAAAAAGAATTATCAAAATCTGTTTACCTAGGAAAAAGTAGAAGTATGTTATTTGCATTAAAAAAAGATGTTATTGAATCACACGTTAGTTTAATAAAATATTTCGGAATTAGTTATTCCAAGAAGTAACAATTAAATTAAAAAAATGATGCACTTGCTAAGATTTTTTTTTTATATAGGATAAGGTGACAAACGAGCACACAGTCCACCTGATAGTAAGATGTTACTGTGACCCATAGACATCCACATCTATCCTCAATAAAGACTCAAGATGCAGATGCGTTGTCACCCGTGAGGACTAAGATGGAATGCCCCTTTGCCAGTAAAAAGGGTCTCCGGTTCTCTACTCTCACCTTCACGTTGCACAGCAGCGTTAAGCTGCTATTTTACGCTGGTTTTCTATGAGAGCGTGGTCGTTCCCCGATCGAGCCGACCCATTCGTGCTACAACTATACTAGTAATATAGCTGCAGCATGGCTCTACCACGTAAGATCAGCGAAGAGCGTTATCGTGCTTTACTATTATCTCACAGATTAGAAAGTTATTATTTAGATGAAAATGGTCGAGAGCGTACTGAATAAGTTTAACAAAATCAGAATATCTACTAAACTTAAGTCATCTTCGTTGTGACCGAACGGAAAGACAGAAGCTGGCAATTTTTTTTATGGAATAAAGGTGAAAAACGAGCACACTGTCCACCCGATGGTAAGTGGATGCCACAGCCATTAGACATCTACGTCTATCTACCAGTATAGGAATATTTCACTTCCTTACTGACTCTGCATTATTGACTTTGCACTCAAAAACCACCTGCCTAGAAGGTTACTATGAGAAAATGGTTACAGTAATGAATCGGCAGTTGGCGCATTCTTGAAAAAGTGTATATTTGGCAATGGATTTAAAGAGTCTCAGAGTCAAGAAGATAATATAAATACCTTAACAGTGTTGCCCGATCCTGCCAATCAGCATTTCTACGATGTGTCCGTGCTACTCCACTTCCAACTAATACCGCTAAACCAACTACTAGCAATGCTTTGGTGCCAGGCTTAGAGTACCACAATAATTGAACGCCATAAGCCGTTATTATCACGCTGCCGATGCTAAAAAAATATAACAGGATACCAATAATTATTTAAAAAAACCGCGCTCGCTACGCCTGCCTTCTAAATACTAGTCAAGTTCTCATCATAATTGAAAAGAACTATTGTCTCCTAAAGAAAAACTTTCCTTGTTTTCTTGTTTTATAGAATCAGCGTGACAAACGAGTCCCCCTGATGGTATGCTGTGGCCCATAGACATCTACATTTATCCTTAATTAAGTAAGCTATCACCCCTGCGAACACAGATGAAATGCCTCGTTTCCAGGAAAAAGGGTATGCGGTTCACTACAATCACCATTCAAAGCAGCAATACAGCAGCATTAAACTCATATTTTACGCTTTTATTCTGTGAGAGCGTAGTCCTACCCCAGTTGAGTAGACTCATTTTTGCTACGACCATAATATAGCTGCGACGTGTCTACCACATATAAACCTATACCATTCCTTGAGGATTAGATGCACCCAACATTTTAATTCATCATCATCATCATCATTACAGCCCTTCACAAGTCCACTGCTGAACGTAGGCCTCCCCCAAAGAATGCCACAAAGCACGGTCCTGAGCCACCTGCATCCATCGACTTCCTGCATGTCTTACCAGGTCGTCACTCCATCTCGTGGGGGGACGCCCTACACTTCGCCTACCGGTACGAGGCTGCCACTCGAGAACCTTTCTTCCCCATCGGTTGTCGGTTCTTCGAGCTATATGGCCGGCCCATTGCCACTTCAGCTTACTAATCAGTTGGGCTATGTTGGTCACTCTGGTTCTACTGCGGATATCCTCATTCCTAAGTTTATCACGCAGAGAAACTCCGAGCATAGCCCTCTCCATAGCTCGCTGAGCGACCTTGAGCTTTCTCATCCGGCCAGCAGTGAAGGACCACGTCTCAGTTCCGTATGTCATCACTGGCAACACGCACTGGGTGTACAGTCTCGTTTTCAAGGTTTGAGGTATACCTGACGAGAAGATGTACCGTAATTTCCCGAACGCTGCCCAACCGAGTTGAATCCGTCGATTGACCTCTCGGTCGAAGTTGGACTTACCTAGTCGGACTATTTGTCCCAGGTAAACATACTCGTCAACAACTTCGAGCTTAGTGTTCCCAACAACTACCGGCATAGGTGTGACATGGACATTAAACATGATCTTAGTTTTGTCCATGTTCACCTTAAGACCTATCCGTTGGGAAACACTATTGAGGTCATTGAGCATAGTGCTTAGGTCCTCCAGCGATTCTGCCATAAGGACTATATCTATTTTATTTTGTGATTATATATTTCAATTTGTGACCCCTTTTTACACTTTCGGCAATAGCTTAGACTAGTGAGAACACAGACGTCTGTAAACAGTTCAATGATAAGATTTCAGATCTGATAAGTGAAAAAGGGGCATTATAATTCCAACTATAGAGAAAAATGATTTTCACGCAGCTAATTTAAAAATAACAGCACAGCATACTCGTACAGTTCTGACAATAGACAACAATAAAGTATTACTGATCATGTCATGGCCCATTATTCGGTGCTGCTTAATTATGATTACAGATCTAAGCAAAATCAGAGGCTCCAAGTGATATACATTTTTAAAAACATAATCATTAATAATAATCATATTTCAAAGTTGTTTATTTTTTTTTATTTAAAAAATTGATCTATGTTTTAATATATCAACTAAATTATTTTATCAGTCAACCACTGCGTTGATCTAGTGGTCGTAAGCGCGACCGATGCTCGTGTGGTCCTGGGTTGAGATACCGGAGTCAGGAAATTGGTGGTGTTTCAACCCCGTGCCTCGGAATAAACATAAAGGCTTTGATTCTTTCGCCTGATCTCTTTTTTTTTTTTTTATAGGAGAGGGGGCAAACGAGCATGCGGCTCACCTGATGGTAAGTGACTACCGCCGCCCATGAACAACCGCAACACCAGGGGAATTGCAGATGCGTTGCCGGCCTTTTAAAAAGGAGTAGGCTCTTTTCTTGAAGGTCCCTAAGTCGTATCGGTCCGGAAAAATCGCTGGTGGTAAACTATTCCACAAGGAAGTTGTGCGAGGAAGAAAACATCTTCTAAATCGCACAGTGGTGGACCGCCAATCATCCAGATGATGTGGATGGTATCGGGAGTTCTGCCGCGATGTGCGTTCGTGAAATTTGGCGGCTGGGATTAATCCGAACAATTCCTCAGAGCACTCCCCATGGTAAATGCGAAAGAAAATGCTAAGAGATGCAACATCTCTTCGCAGTGCCAATGAGTCGAGCCGATCGGAAAGGACTCGGTCGTCGACGATTCGAGCCCCTCTGCGCTGGATGCGGTCAAGTGGAAGAAGTTGGCACTGGGGAGCCCCAGCAAAGATGGGAACAGTATTCCATTTGAGGCCGAACCTGCGCCTTGTAAAGTTGCAGGCGTTGAGCCGGCATGAAATACTGTCCCGCTCTGCTGAGCACGCCAAGCTTTTTAGAGGCCAATTTGGCCTTCTCTTCCAAGTGACCACGAAACTGCACGCTACTCGATATGTCGACGCCGAGGATTCCGATACTGGCTGAGGCAACAAGGGGAGTACCTTGAAACTGAGGAGATACGACAAAGGGGTTCTTTTTAGCGGTAAACGCGCAAACTTGTGTCTTCTGAGGATTAAACTGGACTAGATTTAGTCGCCCCCAATCCGAGACTTTGTCCAGCAAAGACTCGACTTCAGACACAAGTTTGTTCCGGTACTCGGTGACGTTTTCCTGAGAAATATTAGCACGGCCGGTGTATAGAGCATCACCAGTGCTGTCATCTGCATAGCAATGAATGCTACCAGCTTGCAACATATCATTGATATGCAGAAGAAACAGCGTTGGTGATAGCACGCAGCCTTGTGGAACACCAGCGTTAATAGGCTTGTAGTCGGAGCATGCACCGTCTACAACGACCTTGATGCTCCGATCTGCAAGAAAGCTGGTGATCCAATTGCATAATTTCTCGGGAAGCCCATAGGATGGGAGCTTCGAAAGAAGCGCTTTGTGCCAAACCCGATCGAAGGCCTTCGCAATGTCCAAACTAACGGCCAATGCCGCCCCCTTGGACTCCACTGCCAACGCCCATCTATGAGTTAAGTAGACCAGAAGATCACCAGCTGATCGACCCCGACGAAAACCGTACTGGCGGTCACTAATCAGCTGGTGATCCTCAAGGTACCGCATGAGGTGGCAGTTTACAACGGATTCCATTATTTTGGAGAACAAGGGGGTGATGGCGATAGGCCTGTAGTTGGACGGATCTGAGCGGTCGCCTTTTTTAGGGATCGGGTGGACAAAAGCTGTCTTCCATGATTTCGGGACTACGCCTAGGGAGTAAGAGTACCGGAAAAGACGCGTTAGAACCGGTGCCAACTCCGGAGCACACGTCCTCAGCACAATTGGGGGGATTCCGTCAGGCCCACTCGACTTGTGGATGTCAAGGGAGAGGAGTGCTCTGCGAACCGAGCGCTGTGAGAATCGCACATCCGGCATGGAGCACTCACACCGCGGGATGGTCGGCGGTGTGTTCCCCCCGTCATCAACAGTCGAGTTGGACGCAAAAAGGGAGCCTAAAAGGTCGGCCTTCTCTTTTGCGTCGTGGGCCAGTGAGTCGTCCTCCCTGTGCAGAGATGGTAGTGATGGCTTACAGAAATTCCCTTGGACAGCCTTGGCGAGAGACCAGAATGCACGGGTTCCCGAAGGAAGGCGAACTAGTTTCTCGCCAATTCTGCCTATATGCTCTGACTTTGCCTTGGCAATAACTCTTTTGAAGGACCTGGAGGCGAAGTTATACTTCTTTTTGAGTGGGCTGGTGTTTACATCCCGAGTCACCGAAGCCGCAGCCCAGGCTTGATAACACTCCTGCTTACTGCGTAATGCAGTCTTACAGGAGCGACCAAACCAAGGCTGAGATCTGCCTCCGATGGGTACCACAGATGATGGAATAAATAGTTCCATTCCCTGTAGCACTACATCAGTGACAGAGTCAGCAACAGCGCTGGGATCATCCGGCGAGAAGCAAACCCGCCCCCATGGGTAGGAAGCAAAGAAAGATCGCATTCCGTCCCAATCCGCCGACCTGTAATGCCAAACACGGCAGCAACCTGCAGAACGCAACCGCGAGGGGAGCGTGAGTGGCACTACACTCCGGATCAGACAATGGTCCGAAGAGCCAAGAGGGGCATCGACGGAAACCTGATATCCGTCCGGATGAGAGGTCAGCAGAAGGTCCAACAGGGAAGGTGTATGATCCTCAACATCTGGAATCCGCGTAGGCGATGTAACCAGTTGTGTCAGACCATATGCCAAGGCAAAGTCATAAACAGATCTCCCCGCATGATCGGTTAAACGTGAACCGAGCCATTCGGCGTGGTGGGCGTTAAAATCGCCAAGGATCACGATCTCTGCAGATGGGACCTGTTGTAGCAAGGAATCTGTAGCCATTTGGACGTGGTCGATGAGTCGGTCTGTTTCGGCATTACCGCTATGGGACCTATAGAGGCACACGTAGACGCGCGGATGGTCGTCGCTGTCTACGCGTAGCCAAAGGATGGACAGGTCCGAACCTTCAAGACTGCCGAGGCGTCGAGAACAGATGTCCTCTCTGACATACACGCAAACTCCAGCCCGAGGCACAAAGGAGTGCTCCAATTTGTACCCCTGGCAGGAGAGATACGAAGTATCAGCCGGAGAGGACACCTGCGTCTCGGTCAGAAAGAGCAAGGCCGGCTTCGCCGTCTCAAGATGGTAGTGGACGGCGTTTAGGTTCGAGTGAAGTCCCCTGATGTTGCAGAAATTCACGGATAGCGTGGCAGGGGTCGCCTTGGTCTTGTTGCTCAGTTTGCCCCGAGCAGTTATTGTGTTGAGCGGAATTTTGCCCCCCCCCAGAATACGCGGGGCAGCCTGAGCACCCACGCTCAGGAGTGGAATAGCATGGTCGTGGATGCTCAGCGAGGGATTCTCCAGGGGTACTGGTACCCTCCTGGGGTAGTTTATGATGTAATTCCGCTACCATGTTGATGGGGGGGGGGGAATTGGGCATCCGGTCACCTGCACTCACCAGACAAAACGCGGAAGCAGAGCTTCCACTTCACGCCGGTATTCTGTGAGGTCGTGGTACTAACCCGGCTCGAGCCGGCCCATACGTGCAACAGCAAAAGCTGCTGCAAGGCTCTACCACCGTTAAAGTCTCTGTCAAGTGTATCGGATTACTATTCTATCTAACTATGTGAGTGCAGAATCAAAGAGTGCACATATTACATTTGTGAAATATAACACTGAAATTGGCTGCCGTGAGCACATTTCGGTCTAAGGGAAGTTATAAAACAAATGCCTACTGGTGTATTTGCAAAAATACCCACATTCAGCAGCGGATTTAAGTGGGCTGAATACAACAGAAAATATTTGATGTAACTATAGGTTTTTAACAGTTATTACGTTTAGCATCAATAAAATAAATCTACATCAAATACCTCGGTGTGTAAAGAACACGTTCAGCTATGACAAAACCGACAGTTAGAAGTAAATTGCTGGCTGGCAGAAAAGGAATTACAAGTAATAACACTCCAATAACGGCAGGCGTATGTCGATGATTCTGAAAAAAGAAACAAAATTGTATTTCACACTTAAAATCGACACTATGTTTTGAGTTTCATACCATAGACATTATGTAAGCCAATATAATAAAGTTTGATGATTCGATTGTGCAGTTAAGTGTACATGCTGGAATCCGGTATGCAACAATTAGGGTTATGTGTGGATGTTTTTTCTTGTACAATTTACCTAAATAATATTACATACATTACAATTTACCTACATAATATTTACTATGTGAAACGCTTACATTTCACAGAAAATTCAAAAAAAGGTTCTTTGAGATAAATTAAAACGAGGTAAAGTTTATATGTTTATGTATTTGTATGAGTTAGCCCTACAAACTACTGAACCAATATTTAAATTTGACATTAGTTCTTAATAATAAAATTTGCTACAGAGTTCAAAAAAAAAGTTTACGCTTTTTGGAAGAAAATAAATCGGTTTTTTATATAAAAGCCACAAGATGTTACTAGGTGGGCCCGGTTCAGAACTCTTGCCTGTTTCTGCCGACAAACAGCAGAACACTAAATGCTCTCGTCTTGTTGGAAGGGTCACTTACAGGCCCTGAGTATTTTATCTCAGTCACCACGAGTGGCAAGGTATTTGTGACCTTCTTGATTTCAAGTTAGTATCAGATTTACATTTATGGTAGCAGTACCGTTATTTGAATCATTAGCTTGTTGATGACTATAATATTTAATAATGTATTAGAAGCTAATGTTATTCGTACCGTTCGTAACACAACCATTACAGACTTTCAAAGTCCACCGTTGAACATAGGTCTCCCCATAGATATTATGAAAAATGGCATCATCTCATAATTTGCTTACTAAATTTTATGACGATTGAAAACAGTATCGTTAAAACATTGTCTTAAATACAATTCAGATGTAATTATTTATGAGATACTCAAGTATTATATCTATATTCTATACTGTTATATGTATGCTTCTATAGAGGTTAGCTTTACCGGTATAGCTACCTAACTCCTATGGATAATATAGATTTATTTATAACAGAAAGATCACATTGCCAGACGTAACACACCTTTAACGCTTCTACCCGTCTCGACCTGATCATTTTGTACGTAGCACAGATCCGTGAACGTTACACGACCTTTTTTATTAAAGTTTTTGCAAATTAAGTATGACAAACGAGTACACAGAGTAGTGTACTGCGAATGTCGAAGCGAAGTGGTACGTTCAGTTAAAATCTTATAACCGTAAAACACCATGCCCAGTTGTAGATTAATATGAGCAAAAAAAATAAGAAGAATATTATTCAATCAGCATAGGGTTTTTTTTATAGAATATGGGTGACAAATGATCACATAGTCCACCTTTTGCTAAGTTAATGCTTAAAACATAGATGCCTTTATATCCCCTTGTTTAAGAATCTTAACAGGAAGAAATCAAGAATAAAATCAATAACAGTTTTATTCCTGATGGCTAAGATGAAAAGTGTGTGGCGGGGCTGTTATAACGCTACACCGAAGCCTGTATCCCGCTGCCAAAGTTTCGAAATACTGCGCTATATTTAGAACAGTTCTGTACTCGCGCCACTGCGTCTTAACCAATAAAAATAGTGTCGGCTTTGTACACTCATAATACGAAACAAAGTAACATTAAGCTAATATTCTACGCTTGTATTTATTATGCAAGTAATAATACAAGTACATAATCCTTCCCTGATCGAGCCGACCTATTCGTGCTATAACCTTATTACACTGTAAGACTACACAATGCATGAAAATGTTTACTCAGTCGATTATTAAGGCACATATTTTGCACACGAATTGGGTAATGGATGGATTCTTTGCCACTACCATAATATAATACAATTAAAATTCTAAAATTATCCAAGTTTAAAACATAGTTACCATGATGTCGGCACCACAGCGATAGCAAAGAAACAATAGCGCGCCAAAAGCTGCGCATGTAAGTAAATTTCTAGGATCCCAACCACTGGTGATAAGCGCAACTGATCCCATTTGCCAGTCGTGACTAAGTGTCCAAGGACAGAGAAGCAACCACCAGTTGAATGCTGCCAGGTAGCTGAAGGTCATTAACCTAAAAATTGTTATTGTATTTAAATGGTAACTAAATTAAAACAAAATAATTTAATGACTAATAGGTGGTTAGAAACTTTAACTCCCTTCGAAATGATTCTTGGGAAATAAAGGTGGAAGGTTTTGCGGCAGAAATAGGTAAAAGAACCCATCGTTTTATTACTGTCTTACGTGTTTATTAACCTGTGTGTTCTAGTTTTATCATCATCAGCATAATTACAGCCCATCACAAGTTCACTCTTGAACAAAGGCTTCCCACGTAACACAGTCCGAGACATTAGCATTCATCCATTTCGTTCTTATTCTACTCTTTGCTTTCTAGTACGTGGCTGCGACTCGATAACCTTTCAACCCTATCGGTTGCCGGTTCTTCGAGATAAATTATGACCATCCCATTGACAATTCAACTTACTGATACATTTCGAATTAAAAAGTTATTATTAATATTCATAATAAGAAACTAAAAAATAAATATGAAATGGCTCACACACAAGCCATTTCATATTTATTTTCAGATATGACAATAGAACTGTAGGCTTCTTTGTTTTAATTGAGAATAATACAAAGGATGATATATATTTACTAATTTTAAATATATGTTTTCTACATATAAATGCGACAATAGAGCACACAGAACGTATGGTTATGATGAATGCAGCCGCGCAAATAAACTTACATCTATCTTCGATTACGAGTAAAACACGGACGTGTTGTCACCCCTGAGGGCCAAAACGAAATTCGTCATAAACGTAAAAGTTTTTTCCAGTTCCTTTCACTCATCATATAAAAGACATCAGCAGTAATACTGTATTGTACGCTAGTATGCCGACAGCGTGATCCTTCCCTATCACACACATTTTTATTGTTTTCTTGCATTGCTGTCTATCCAAAGGTTGTCTGGAAGAGATCGCCCTTAGCGATAAGACCGCCCATTGTACCACATTTCTTTTTCTCATTTTTTGTTAATATTTTTGTTATTTTTTAGCGTACAATAAAGTGTTATCTATCTATCTATCTATCTATCTACTCGTGCAGACTCTTTCGTGGTGCAACCATTATAGAGCTGCAACATCGCTCTACCGCGTTTACATAGTATGCAATTACGGAAAAATTGTACTCGAGTTATTGTATATAATAATAAATAACAATTTTACTAAAAACATTGAGAACAAATAAATTTAATCTGTTTTATATTTAATGCTTTTTTATATAATAAGGCAGCCCACCTCATGGTAAGTGGCTACTGTGGCCAATAGACATCTACTTCTATTTTAGATTGAGAATCAAAATGCAGATACGTTGTCACCCCCGAGGACTAAGAAGTTATTCAGTAAAAAGGGTCTCCGGTTCTCTACACTCGCCGTACTAAACACAGCAGCATCAAATTGTTATTTTACGCTGGTACTCTGTGAGAGCCTGCTCCTTCCCCAGTGGAGCAGACCCATTCGCGCTACAACTATAATATAGCTGCAGTATGGATCTACCAAGTATAAAATTATTATTTGTTTATATTTTAATATAATAAGCTAGAGCTTGACTACTATCTCACCTGATGGTAAGTGGTGATGCAGTCGAAGCTAGTGAAGTGCACTGACTTAACATAAGCCTATTGACAAAAAGTAAAGTTTATTTAATTACCTTACAAGAAAACTAGGATGGAAAGCAGCCGGGTTGTCTTGAGGAGAAAATGAAGGCCATGTTCCTTGCAGTAATGCCAGCCTGAGGTATATCAGTAACGCAACGGCTGCTAAGATTTTGAACGTTCGGACTGACAGACCAGTGCATTTTTTATCGATTTTCATTGAGTAAAAAGACCTTAGAATACAAAGATGTGCTAAAAAATATTGCTAATAAAATACTAGTGTAGTGCTTACATTACCATAATGATTAATACAACTTCTACACCGGGTGATTAATACAACTTCCGAATACTATCCGGAAAGTATCATCCTTATCATCATCATCAACATCATCATAATAATTATTACAGCCTTTCAAATGTTCACTGCTGAACATAGGCCTCCCCCAAGGAATGCCACAAAGCACGGTCCTGAGCCACCTGCATCCATCGACTTCCTGCATATCTTACCAGGTCGTCACTCCATCTCGTGGGGGGTCGCCCTACACTTCGCCTACCGGTACGAGGCTGCCACTCGAGAACCTTTCCTCCCCATCGGTTGTCGGTTCTTCGAGCTATATGGCCGGCCCACTGCCACTTCAGCTTACTAATCCGTTGGGCTATGTCGGTTACTCTGGTTCTACTGCGGATATCCTCATTCTTAAGTTTATCACGTAGAGAAACTCCGAGCATAGCCCTCTCCATAGCTCGCTGAGCGACCTTGAGTTTCCTCATACGGCCAGCAGTGAAGGATCACGTCTTAGATCCGTAAGTCATCACTGGCAACACGCACTGGTTGTACAATTTCGTTTTAAGGTTTTGAGATATGTCTGACGAGAAGATGTGTCGTAGTTTCCCGAACGCTGCCCAGCCGAGTTGAATCCGTCGATTGACCTCTCAGTCGAAGTTGGACTTACCTAGTTGGACTATTTGTCCCAGGTAAACATACTCGTCAACAACTTCGAACTTAGTGCTCCCAACAACTACCGGCATAGGTGTGACATTAAACATGATCTTTGTTTTGTCCATGTTCATCCTAAGACCTATCCGTTGGGAGAAACTATTGAGGTTACTGAGCATAGAACTTAGGTCCTCCATTGATGCTGCCATAGAGACTCGGCAAATCGAAGGTTAGTGATGTACTCGCCATTGAATTTAATACCGTATCCTTTCCAGTCCATAAGCTTGAAAACGTCTTCCAATGTAGCGGTGAAGAGTTTCGGGGATATAACATCACCGTGTCTTACACCTCTCTGCAATTGGATAGCTTTCGTACTCTGGTTCTGTACTCGGATAGCCATCGTAGCTCTACTGTACAAACACTTCAGCACTTCGATATACCGACAGTCAACTTGGCACCGCTGAAGGGACTACAGCACCGCCCAAATTTCGACGGAATCAAAGGCTTTCTCATAGTCCACATAAGCGAAACATAGTGGCAAATTTTACTCTTCGGACTTCTGTAAAATTTGCCAAAGGGTATGTATGTGGTCTATGGTGCTAAAGCCCTTTCGAAAACCGGCTTGTTCGGGAGGCTGGAAGTCATCAAGTCTGCGCGTGAGACGATTTGTAATGACTCTCGAAAACAGCACGTAGACGCGGCTCGGAAGGGAAATCGGTCTATAGTTCTTCAAGAGAGCGTTGTCGCCTTTCTTGAAGAACAAGACCACCACACTGCTGCTCCACACCTCCGGTGTAATGCCACCATGGAGGACGGAATTAAAGAGCTTCTGAAGGACTTCAAGTACCGGTCTTCCACCCGCTTTCATAAGCTCCGTTGTAATTCCATCCTCGCCTGGGGCCTTGCAGTTTTTAAGGTGCTGGAGAGCCAATCTAATCTCGCTCAGACTGACGTCCGGGATATCTTTGGAATAGTGTCGGATAAGACTCGCTCTTGGATCGTTACTCACACTTGCGTATGGCTCCAACGACGACGTGTACAGCTGCCAATAGAACCTCTCAATCTAACTCAAAATCTCAGGTGCTCCGGAAACGATGCTGCCGCACTCGGTCTTCAGCTTTGACAGTTGGCTCTTTCTGGTAGACAGATCTCTGGCAAAGACTTTGGAGCTTTGGTTCCGCTCGATCGCAATACAACAATACAAGCTGTATTGAAGTTGCGTTAGTCCCGCCGCATGTATTTGGAGATCTGTCTGTTCAGTTGCCTGTATGCTATCAAGTCTGTTGAAGAATGTAGCTGTATCTCCCGTTTAACAGCCATGAGATTGAGAGTGTGATCAGAGAGCTTTTGTATTCTTCTGCTGTGGGTCTTGGAGAATTTAGCTCCGACCGTATGTACAGTTTCCACGAGCTTGTCATTCATATCGTCCACTACATTGCAGTCTTCTAGGCACTGAAAACAGTTTTTTAATTCGATCTGAAAGGTTTTGGGACTTTGGAACAGAACACGAGGGGGACGGAGCGTTGACTTCATTAGACGAGACCTCTCCAACTTAACGTTTAGGTTTAGTGTGCCTCTAACCATTCGGCGATCGCCACCAGTTTTCACCCTCGCGATCACAGAGACATCACTGAACAGTTGTCGTCTGGTCGCCATAATGAAGTCAATCTCATTTTTTGTGGAACAGTCGGGGCTCGACCAGGTCCACTTCCTGTGGGGCCGCTTCTGGAAGTAAGAGTTCATTATAAAGAGTTCCTCTTTCTCCATGAATCCTTATCATACAATTATCTATTTTATCTTTTTTTTTTTGTGATTTTTGCACTGTTAGCTTATGCGGCTCTTTCAGTTTAGTCTGACATAGCTATTTAAAAAATAGAAAGGCGTCAATTAGGATGGGGATGAGGATGATGATGGTGTATGAATTGGTATTACCAATCATCATATAAACTCTGTTGAGGTTGTTTTTGAGTTATCTAACCGCTGTCCGTGTGGAGGTGTGCGTACCCCCGCCTATGACTGCTTTGCTAGTATCGATCGATGTTCTGGGCGGTGAGAACCGCCCAGGTACGCGGGTGTACAGTGTGTACGCAGTGTGTGCTGGAACGCATCGTGCCCGCCTACAGGTGCGACGCGCCGCATCCGTTAACATACTTTTGTTTGTCCTAATTGGTATGGGTGTAGTCTCATTGTTTGATGTACCTGCGACGTTTGGTTCGACGGGATCGAGTGAGCGTGGTTGTCCTATGAGTACGTCACGTGATCTACGGAGAGTCCGCATGACGTTTGGTGTCGGGACGTAGTTGGCTGCGTTAGCCACTAGCGGGTTTGTATGGGTTTTGTGGGTGAGAAATCTCCTTAAAGTAGTCTGAGATAGTGTGAAGTTGGCAATCATTGTGTAGATCAGAATTCCGTTGATACCACCGTGCTCCAGTGGCTTTCCAGATAAAAAGGTTTTGGAATTTCTGTAGTTCGTATAGGTGGGTCTAATATGTGTGAGCAAAACCTACACTTGCGAAAGACATTATAGGTATAACGCAGGTTTGTACAGGTGAAGTTAGTGTCTTAGCGATGACTTACTCTTCCAGTTAACAAGAGGGTGGAGACTACCAATAACTGTCTTGGCTTTGTTGCAAGCTACACTTATGTATTTTGCAAAACTTATGCGGACGTCAAACGTGACTCCCATATATTTGGCCGAGTTTTCCCAAGGGATAGGGTGACCTTATAAGGAGAGATTAACTAGTTATGCTTGTGGCATTCAAATTTTATTTGGTGTTGAAACCAGTAAAAAGTATATTGCTACACTTTTTTCGGGATTCACTTCAATTCTCCATATACGGAACCATTCGCCTAAGCGATTGGTAGCTTTTTGGAGTTTCAAACTGAACAAAGTGAACTTTTTCTGTTATGGTCAGATATTAAGAGTGTCGTATCGTCGAGAGACCACTGAGTCCTTGGGAATATCACTCGTGAAGAGTGTGAAGGGAAGTGGAGACAGGACGGAGCCTTGTGGGACCCCGGCCATTAGAAAAAGTTTTGAGGAACGAGTTCCCTCTACTCGGTAGCGAAAGGAGCAATTTGTAGGTAAAGCTCGGATGATGTGTCTATCGGGCACGTTGAGTTTATACAGTTTGTAGAGCAAGCCGTCGTGCCAAACCTTATCTAATGCTTTTGCGACATCGAAAAAGAGGGCTTAGGTGTTTCGAGACCGTTTCTTTGTCGGATGGTGATTAAAGCCAATCAGAATATATTCTGCTAAGCAATTAATTTGGTGAGTGAACGAGTGTTCGGCTCTAAAGCCAAACTGCTCGTCGGGGAAAAGTCTGTTAGCTACCGTAAAGTGACGGAGGCGGTTTTGAATGATGCGCTCGTATAGTTTACCCAATGTGTTGAGTCTACTCTGTGTAAGCCCATTGTAATAGGCCTGTAGCTGGAGGGTCGGTTTCGCGGTTTCCCTGGTTTTTGGATTTCTATTACGTCTGCTTCTATCCAGATATCCGGGAAGGAGCAGCTCGAGAGCAGCACGTTGAATATTCATACGAGGAGGTAATTTAGAAGTGCCGGAAGAGATTTGATCAACTTGTTGCCGATGCCGTCTGGCCCAGGGGCTGATCTATTCTTTAGGCTTTTTATAGTATCTTTGATTTCATCAAAAGTCACTGGATCGAGTGGGACGCCCACTGGTGGTAACGCAGACCTACGTTCGACTTCGGCTTCTACCCCTAGTAGGTGAGCGGGATGAGCGGATGGGTTACACTAGCTCTCTAGACTGTCGGATAGGCATTCAGCTTTTTCGAGATCATATAAGGGGAGATCAGGACGGTCTCGCCTCACGAGAGGCGTCATGGGAAAAGATTTCTCCAATTTTATAGCTCTAGTGAGCTTCCAAAAGGTCTTGAGAAGGTTTTACTTGTTCTAAGAGGTTTTCCCATTTATCGTTCCTAAATTCGGCTATGCGTTGTTTAATCACATTTTGTAGAGAACGTAGCCGAACTTTATTATCTTTCGTGCCATAACGGTCGTAAGATTTTAGCGCGGTGTTCTACGCTCTGATCAGTTGTCAAAGATCTGCCGGAAGCTTCGTGTACCGATCACTGGACACACGTACCTTACGGGAGCATTGTTCTACCGCTGAAGTGATTTGAGTCGCCAGCGCACTAATCACTCTATTTGCTTCCTCTGACGTGTCTATCTTGTCCAGTATATTGTCTAAATGCTGGAAGTTTGTAGACTCGAGCTTACGCCAGTCGAAGATGGTTTGGTTCTGAGGGACCTCAACTGCCGACCGGCCCAGTTGTTATACGACCGGCCTGTGATCCGAGGTTAATTCGATCAATGTTTCAATGGAGTTAATATTGAGCCGGATATCTTTTAGTAATACTACATCAAGGATGTCCGGTAGTTGGGTTATAGCAAAAGGGTAGCGAGTTGGACTCTTGGGAGCGATAAAGTCGAAGTTGAGTCTCTCTCAGATAAATGTGGGATCACATAAAACGTTTCCGTTTCGATTGTAAACGTTAGAATTCCAACTAACGTGCTTACTGTTTAGGTCTCCCGAAATTAATACACTGGAGCCTAAATCTAGTAGAAACGAGATGTCGACTTCCAATATATGTTTTAATGACGGCATATATACCGATGCAATTATAATGGGTGGATGGCCCATAAGTGCTATGCTACAAACCGATGCTTCTAAGTTAGCAAGCGATGGAGTATCTATCAAGACATATTTCAAGGACCTTTTGTAGTAGATCAAGGTGCCGCCTTTAGGTTCAGTCAGCCTATCCTTTCTTACTAAGATACAATTAGCAATTTTGGGATCGCGCACGCTAGGTTTCAAGAAAGTATCTTGCACTATCATGATGTCGACTTCATGATCGCGTAAAAAGTACATGATTTCTTCCTTTTGATCTCTGATGCCGTTTGCGTTAAAGAGCGCGACAGCCAGAGAGCTAGTTTTGGTTCTTCAGGTAAGTTATAATGCCATTATGGTTTAAAAAGGGGATTGCTTAGGTGCAATGGAATAAACCAATCGTGTCGATGAAGATTAATATGTCCAATGGTGGCATTGAGGTCTATCTTGAGTGTTTTTGGCTCCGCGAAATTTGCAAGTCAGAGAAGTGATTTCAACGACAATATTGTTACTGATGAACCTGCAGACTAACAAGAAGTCGGCAGCGAAGATTGAAGATGCCTGAAGGGCGGTTTCGGGCTTTTGAGCCTGGCCTGGAGAGAGGGCGCTGGCCGTGAGTCGGCCGCACTTACAATCGCCGGGGGCTTAACCAATGCGTTTTTTTAGATGCTGAAGGCACCGAAAGCCTTACTACCTTGCCCGGAAGCCTCTTTAACGGGGGCGAGTTTGATGATAGCCTGAGGGGGCGTGGGTTGCGACACCGAGATCGGAGTGACTGAAGGGCCAGGTTGCCGAAGACAGGACCTGCTGGCGATATGACCTGCTGCCTGTCCGTGCCAGTTTACATTTCCGCGCCTCTTCTTGCGCGGCGCTTTGGTACACCCACTGATAGTTCGCTGGGTGTCCCGCTTCGTCGCACAGAACCTAACTCGGAGTGCACTCGGGCGTACCGTGGTCGCCTTGACACTTAACGCATTTAGGCAGGACTAAACAGTTTTTGGCCGAGTGGCCATAAAGTTGATATCGGTGGCATTGATCAACGATGCCCCTATTTTGGGGGGCTTCTACTGCAATCCCCGTAAGATTGATGATTTTTTTTGGAGTCTATCCATTTGGATAGGTTGTTCCATCGGGATTTTCCCTGAACTATAATTGGGGGCAGCGGCTTTTCCTTGCGCTCAGAGGCCACTTTAGGGTTCCCGATTATAATTGCGACCGCGAAGACAGGGACGAAGGGGCCAAGTGATGCTCGTCGCCCTTGTTCGCGACGGGGCATTTACGTTTTTTGCCCGAAACTATGGTTATGCCGCCGTCTACGGGCTTGGCGAGTTTCGCTACCTCTAACTCCATTTCGGAGCCCCACTCGGCGTCCGAGAACACCGGGTGGAAAACCCAGAAGTCGCGGGGGATATTATGTCATATAAAGTGTCTAAGGACACGGGGGTCAAAGGTCCGGTGCTCGGCGACATGGAGTCGTCAACGAGTACAGTCGGACGTTTAGCATCGGACATGTCACGCTGCATTAAAAAGGTCGCCCAAACGTCGGGGCAGACGCGATTTAAAAAGTCGATGAGTTCCGCTGTTATAACAGCCGCCATCATGTTTCAGGCTAAAAAGGTTTGTGCTTAAGACGAACACCTATACACCTAGCGCGTTGGTACGCTAGGGTGTGTACCTATTTGTCGCCCAAAGCTACAAGCGAACACAGAAATTAAAACAATAGATAGCCGCCTCTAAGGCAGCGGTGTGTAATAAACTACTTACAGTTTCTGTAAATCGGCAGAGCGTAGGGCATCAAACTTATCACAACACAAAGGGACAATGGGCCAGCGGGTCCGGTTCAACCTGACGGCGGCAATGATGCACAAACAGCTGAGTAACTGACCGGTTATTTTTCTTCGCACAATAGTATTTCATTACTCAGGAGCACATGGGCTTGACCGAAGAAATACATCCGCGCAGTTTCAGCGCAGACAATCGAATTTCGTCTTGTCTGAATTTAGGCCCTTGTCTTCGACACAATATTATGATCACGGAACATCATCATCAATCGCGATGCAGGGAATGTCCGCAACATATTTACAGCCAAAGGCTATACGTGTTTATAACAAAATTTTTACTCTATATTTGAATAAAATTTATTTTACGAATTCTGTTTTACGTTTGATATTAGTAATAAAAAAACTGTAAAATAAATTTAATTCAAAGTACAGTATTTTGTCAAATAAATATAAATAAATCATTATTATCATGCGAACCACGATCATCAGAATCATTCAGATTTTGCCTTAAATCGACTCTTACCGTACAAGCTTACGGGATTAGATAAGGCTTGATTATATTAGAATTTGGAAAATTCAAATATAATAAGCGTCAACAAATCTCTTTAATCAGTTTTTATTTAAATATGATTTAAAAAATTACCTTTGTACAAACGGCCAACATCTATAAAAATCGATGACAAGATTTAGAAGAAGTACTGTAACGCCAGTCTCTTTTGCAAGCATGCTAAGTGCGCCAAGAACAACGCTCAACCACACACACTTCTTATCGCTTGTAGGTCTGTAAGAATAAAAGATAAATTGTTCTTCCAGCAAAATGGTTGTAATGTACCAATAAAGATATTATGCAAAACATAAAATGGTAATAATATTTTGCCTTTTTATTTATAAGACTTATTCTTTATTCGTAACATACATTGTATAAATCAAGTATGTTATATACTACTTGTGCTGGGGAATCAAATTTCTTATAATATTTTTTTCGATTGGAAAAAACAACCAATGTTTTGCTGTCCAAACAACAGGCTCTCTTTTGTTAAACATAAGATAAGAGAAGATTTTGTGTTATCACGCTACTGCAGGGCGGAATTTCACATAAACTTAAAATATGTTTCATTTCTCAGACATGCAATTTCCTTTACGATGCATGCACTCACCTTGCCTAGGAAACTTGCCTCATCCTTAAATGTAAATCAAAATTTTAATTAAAATGAGATATTTTTCTTATGCATTAATAGAATATCGAATTCAATTTATGGCAATGATTGATTACATATATGCGTTAAGTAAGTTATGGCGATTTTAAAACAACATAACGATTAACATAAAAACACAAAACAAAACAGGAATCTAACAAAAAGGAATTGTGGAAATATTTGTTTTTAACTAATGATTATAAATTATTTATGTTATTCCATTATATATTTACCTATGGTAGACTAAGAGAGATAACAGAAAAAATATGCACGCCAAAACATCTGCCCTCCCAACCACTCCAGCTACCTACCGAAACAGAAGAAAAAAATATTAATCGGTGATAATTATAGTGATAAGTATGTAATTACTGCTAACGATGTCCAATTACGACTGTAATTAAAGTCCATTTTATGTATTAAAATAGTAACCGCTTCAGTGTGTACAGGATGCACTGCAAATAATAGGGCCGCCAGTGCAGCGAATGGACGTTGCAGACGAGCTATTGCAACACAAGCTCTTGTGACCAGCGCGCAGCACGCGGCGTGAAGCGACACATTACAAGCATGCCACCACCACGGCTGTAACCCAGCTAGGACGTGATTGAGTCTGGAACAAAAAGAGAGAACTTTTTAAAATTCGACGTTTGGACAATGGTTTGATTTTGTAAACTAAGTCATAAATACACAACGCCATTATTTTAATATTGTTTTGTGTGTAATAATAAGTTATTTACTTAAGCAACGTTAATTTAGTAAGTTAGTGCAAGAAGTGAGACATTTACTACAAAATGTTACATTTCTTTATTTTTATTTTTCGTGGTAATTTTAGCAGCAGCAGCTTCTATATAGTTGTAGTACTAATGAATACCAGCGTAAAATGGCAACTCAATGGTGCTGTGTTTCGTATGGTGAACGTAGAGAACCGGAACGAAATTCACTGGAAACGAGGCTTTCTATCTTAGTACTTAGGGGTAACAACGTATCTGCATTTTGATTCTTAATCGAGGATAGATGTAGATGTCTAGCTCCATAAGAACCACTTACCATCAGGTGGATTGTATAAACCTTTATCAGCCATATCTTATAAAAAATAATGTACTCAAAATTAGAATAGTTTTAATGTAACTTAATATTCAAGCTTTTGCTGAATCCTTATTCAGTAATAAATGTTGAATATTACATTTCTTAGTCCAACTCCACAAGGAAGAGATTATCAGATATGGTGTATATTTGTATGTAACTTGCGCGATCCACTTATTCTGAATGTAAACTTTCTGTATGATTTCGTTTTTATGTTTTTGTTTTATACTTTTGGTTATTTAAAATACCAATTTCAATTAATTATTTTTGTTGTCTATGCAGTAGTTAACTCTTTATTGGTTTTCACACTTTTACTAACGATGACGTCATCGAGCGAGCTAAAGAGCGCTACCTTTGTCAAGCATATAAGTTAATAATATTAAGGCCAATGTTTCAATAGTCCGAAAAAAGTTATCCATGAAATAAATTATAACTTGACTAAATATAAAAGTGATAAGTATAACACGGACCGGAGTAACCCTTAATTTTCTAAGTCATATACTAAATTAATTTATCGAAAACTTGTTGTGTTTCGCTAATGGCACATCGATGGAGGTATATATGGAATGGAAAAATAGCAACAACCTTGTAAAGAAAGAAGATGAGATCAATATATCTATCTTATTTTGTACCACGTTAAACGTCATATGCATAAAGAGTTCCACTTCAAGATTTTTTTCTTATTTTAGGATTCCTTCTATGCTTGTAAACTCTAACCATAAAACAATTTTTTTAGCTATATTATGGCGTTGGATACTAGACTCTCAACCAATAATAAAAATGGAAACACCGTATAAGTACATAATCTAAAACATTATAATTTGAAATTAAAAATTTCAAACTCTAAATTCAAAAACTATTAGGTAGACCTTGATCAAATTTATATGGGACCACATGAAAAGCATTATCTTTCAAATAAAAGAATAATCATCGAAGTCGGTTCAGCCAGAAAAAAGTTATGAGGTAACACACATAAAAAAAGTAAAAAAAAATAACAAAAAATAAAGTCGAATTGAGTACCGTCTCCTTTTTGAAATCGGTAGAAAAATATTTTTTGTTCGTATTTTATCATTGTTATTATGCTTATTGCTTGCACTTGCGCGAAGGTTATAGGCATAGCACAATTAACTTACACTAGGTGGTGCGCGTATCGCACCGACAAATTTATTTGAAAGTTATATTAGTATATCATTCAATTTCAAGAAAAGTAAAGTAAGTAACGGTGGTAGAGCCACGCAGCAGTTTTTTGCTGTTGCACGTATGGGTCGGCTCGAGCCGGGTTGGTACCACGACCTCACAGAATACCGGCGTGAAGTAGAAGCTCTGCTTCTGCGTTTCGTCTGGTGAGTGCAGGTGGCCGAAGGCGCAATCCCCCCCCCCCCCCCCCCCATCAACATGGTAGCAGAATTACACGTTAGACTACCCCAGGATTGTACCAGCACCCCTGGAGAATCCCTCGCTGAGCATACACGACCATGTTATTCCACTCCTGAGCGTGGGTGCTCAGGTTGCCCCGCCTATTCTGTGGGAGGCAAAATTCCGCTCAAAAACATAACTGCTCGGGGCAAACTGAGCAACAAGGCGACCCCTACCACGCTACCCGTGAATTTCTGTACCATCAGGGGACTTCACTCGAACCTAAACGCCGTCCACTACCATCTCGAGACGGCGAAGCCGGCCTTGCTCTTTATGACCGAGACGCAGGTGTCCTCTCCGGCTGATACTTCCTATCTCTCCTACCTGGGGTACAAATTAGAGCACTCCTTTGTGCCTCGGGCTGGAGTTTGCGTGTATGTCAGAGAGGACATCTGTTCTCGACGCTTCGGCAGTCTTGAAGGTTTGGACCTGTCCATACTATGGCTACGCGTAGACAGCGACGACCATCCGTGCGTCTACGGGTGCCTCTATAGGTCCCATAGCGATAATGCCGAAACAGACCGATTCATTGACCACTTCCAAATGGCTACAGATCCTTTGCTACAACAGGTCCCATCCGCAGAGTTCGTGATCCTTGGCGATTTTAACGCCCACCACGCTGAATGGCTTGGTTCACGTTTAACCGATCATGCGGGGAGATCTGTTTATGACTTTGCCTTGGCATATGGTCTGACACAACTGGTTAATTGGCCTACGCGGGTTCCAGATGTGGAGGATCATACACCTTTCCTGTTGGACCTTCTGCTGACCTCTCATCCGGACGGATATCAGGTTTTCGTCGATGCCCCTTTCGGCTCTTCGGACCATTGTCTGATTCGGAGTGTGGTGCCACTCACGCTCCCCTCGCGGTTGCGTTCTGCAGGTTGCCACCGTGTTTGGCATTACAGGTCGGCGGATTGGGACGGAATGCGGTCTTTCTTTGCATTCTACCCATGGGGGCAGGATTGCTTCTCGCCGGATGATCTCAGCGCTGTTGCTGATTCTGTCACTGATGTGGTGCTACAGGGAATGTAACTATTTATTCCATCATCTGTGGTACCCATCGGAGGCATATCTCAGCCTTGGTTTGGTCGCTTCTGTAAGACTGCATTACGTAGTAAGCAGGAGTGTTATCAAGCCTGGGCTGCGGCTTCGGCGACTCGGGATATAGACACCAGCACACTTAAAAAGAAGTATAAATTCGCCTCCAGGTCCTTCAAAAGAGTTATTGCCAGGGCAAAGTCAGAGCACATAGGCAGAATTGGCGAGAAACTAGTTCGCCTTCCTTAGGGAATCCGTGCATTCTGGTTTCTCGTCAAGGCTGTCCATGGGAATTTCTGTGAGCCATCACTACCATCTCTGCACAGGGAGGACGATTGACTGGCCCAAGATCCAAAAGACAAAGCCGACCTTTTAGGCTCCCTTGTTGCATCCAACTCGACTCTTGATGACGGGGGGAAAGCACCGCCGACCATCCTGCGGTGTGAGTGCTCCATGCCGGATGTGCTGTTCTCACAGCGCTCGGTTCGCAAAGCACTCCTCTCCCTGGACATCCAGAAGTCGAGTGGGCCTGACGGAATCCCCACAATTGTGCTGGGGACGTCTGCTCCGGAGTTGGCACCGGGCCTAACGCGTCTTTAATGGTACTCCTACTCCCAAGGTGTAGTCCGGAATTCATAGAAAACAGCTTTTGTCCACCCGATCCTTAAAAAAGGTGACTGCTCAGATCCGTCCAACTACAGGCCTATCGCGATCACCTCCTTGTTCTCCAAAATAATGAAATCAATTATTAACTGCCAGATCATGCGGTACCTTGAGGACCACCAGCCGATTAGTGACCGCCAATACGGTTTTCGTCGGAGTCGATCAGCTGGTGATCTTTTCTGGTCTACCTGACCCATAGATGCGCAGCGCGTTAGTTTGGACATTGCGAAGGCCTTCGATCGGGTTTGGCACAAAGCGCTTCTTTCGAAGCTCTCTTCCTATGGGCTTCCCGAGAAATTGTGCAATTGGATCACCAGCTTTCTTGCAGATCAGAGCATCAAGGTTGTTGTAGACGGTTCATGCTCCGACTATAAGCCTATTAACGCTGGTGTTCCACAAGGCTGTGTGCTATCACCAACGCTGTTTCTTCTGCATGTCAATGATATGTTGCTATCTGGTAACATTAATTGCTATGCGGATAACAGCACTGATGATTCTCTATACACCGGCCGTGCCAATATTTCTAGTGAAAACGTCGCCGAGTACCGGAACAAACTTGTGTCTGAAGTAGAGTCTTTGCTGAACAAAATCTCGGATTGCGGGCGACTAAATCTAGTCCAGTTTAATCCTCAGAAGATACAAGTTTGCGCGTTTACCGCTAAATAGAAACCCTTTGTCGTATCTCCTCACTTTCAAGGCACTCCCCTTGTTGCCTCGGCCAGTATCGGAATCCTCGGAGTCGACATATAGAGTCACGTGCAGTTTCGTGGTCACTTGGAAGAGAAGTCAAAACGGCCTCTAAAAAGCTTGGCGTGCTCAGCAGAGCGAGACAGTATTTCATGCCGGCACACCGCCTGCAACTTTACAAGGCACAGGTTCGGCCTCACATGGAATACTGTTCCCATCTCTGGGCAGGGGCTCCCCATTGCCAGCTCCTTCCACTTGACCGCATCCAGCGCAGAGCGGCTCGAATCTTCGACGACCGAGTCCTTTCCGATCGGCTCGATTCATTGGCACAGCGAAGAGATGTTGCATCCCTTTGCATTTTCTTTCGCATCTACCACGGGGAGTGCTCTGAGGAATTATTCGGAATAATCCCAGCCGCAAAATTTCACGAACGCACATCGCGGCAGAACTCACGATACTATCCACACCATCTGGATGATTGGTGGTCCACCACTGCGCGATTTAGAAAATGTTTTCTTCCTCGCACGACTTCCTTGTGGAGTCGATTACCATCAGCGATTTTTCCGGACCGATACGACTTAGGGACCTTCAAGAAAAAGCCTACTCCTTTTTAAAAGGCCGGCAACGCATCTGCGATTCCCTCCCTGGTGTAGCAGCTGTTCATGGTCGGCGGTAGTCACTTACCATCAGGTGAGCCGCATGCTCGTTTACCCCTCTCTT